CTCTTGTTTAAGTAAACATAAAAAATCGAGGAAGAGTCTGAACGATATAACACTTGCGCTGTTGCCTCTTGAAACACACACAAAACAGTACAACAAACTTGAACTCGTAATTCTAGAGCACAGTCCATTCGATCTGATCTAACCCTCCACCATGCGCTCCATGCCCATGTCGCATTGCTCGATGACCAGGCGAGCTATGCGCTTGATTTCACAGTAAGGGCTCTCGTGCTCGATTAGTTCTGTGAGGATTTGTATGCCATTCTCCTGCTCCACCAGCTGGCAATACTTATCCGGGTAGACCTGAAAAACATTAATCTATAAGATTACAAAAGGACTTGTCTATAGAGTTGATCCCTTTCTCACCTGTGTAAGATTGGCCAGCGCCCAGACGGCCCAGTGCTGGCATTCGGGCGTCTCATAGCAGCGGACCAGACTCAAAATAGGTTCAAAGCTGCGATAGTTGATGTTCCGTTCACTCTTGATGTTCCAACGCTGAATGGCAGCGACCATGCGTTCAAGTACGTGTTGTCGTGTTGGCGTCTTAATAGTCCACGCATCGGGGCCATCGGATGCAATGTGCGCCAGCACTCCAGCCGCATTGTAGCTGACCTGGAAGCGCAGTTGGTTAGGATTGTCATTGGCTAGTCTTCCACTACCAAGCTGACCCACCTCGATACCATCGCTCAATGAATCAAGCAGGCGAGCAAACACTTCAATGAACTCCTGTGTCATCAATTTGGGGCGGAGCCATTTAACCTCGGCCACATTGCCCAGCAGACCCATCATGTTTCTTAAAAGCTCGTCCCGATCGGGAAAGGTCTATGGGAAGACATATTAAAAATAGGCATTCAATTTGAATTCAGTTTTTATGGTGCTAATGGCTCACATTTAAACACTTAAGGAAATACTCCATGCCGCGTCCGTCTAGAAATCTCTTACAATTAATAGCAGTCTCATCGGTTACATTCCACATGGTCGACCACGCCACCTCCATCACATCATCAAAAACTGAGCGTGTTAACCGATCCTTGATGAGTGTCAGCATTGTCTGCGAACAGATTAAACAGTAAATATATAGTCTACATGGATATCGTTGGTTTATATAGCCTTACGCTGACCACTCCCAGCTCGCCTAGAAATAGTTTCTGCCGACCATCCACCTGACAGGCGAGCGTGTTCAGCAAATAGATGGCAATGCGTTGCACAAAACCTTCCTGCTCCGTTTTTGACACACCATGCAGCAATATCTTAATGAGCCGTTCATACTCAAAGAGCTGACAATTGCAAAGAGAGGTAAGTATTAGTGATCTAGCTTAATCTCAGACATAAAGTCCTAAAGACCTACCACATCGACTGGCATGTGAAACTGCGTCAGTGTTAGATAGCCATTGCGCAGCATTGTATCATCTGTTAGATGCATCTCCATGCCGTTGAGTAGGGTCCTTATAATATGATTGCGCAGCAGCGTACCAAACTTTGAACGATCGCGTCCTTTGACTATGTAGAAGAGTGTGGCGCTACAAACAAGAGATTTAGATTAAATTCAACATTGAGTTGTACTCAATAACTAAAACCAATTCATAATAAAATCACACAAGAAGTGTATGCAGCTTGTAAGCATTGAATTTGCACATTAAATAGACTTTCTGCCACGTACCTGCCCGATATTTGCATGTGCTTGAATTTCAGATGCCTATCCATAGCACAGAGCACTACATCCAGAGCTGTGTGTATGTCCTTGCAGTTCTCAAACCGAAACAGATGATATAGATCATTGAGGACCTACGAGAAACATAGAGGAGAAGACGGTCACTATATAGGCCAGCTGACTATTGTATTCGACTCGGCCTCACCCTTGTTAGCAGCACCGGTCTGTCGTGATAGTAACGTGCCGCTGTGAGTATTTGCTGTTCGTTGGCATCGCCGGCCACCTCCAGGGCGGGTATATCGTGTCGCTTGCATGCCCAATGCGCCGTGTGATACAGCCCAAGAAACTGTAGCGGGCGCTGAGTACGCGACGCTAATCCCGGTATATCGGTGGGTCCAAAGTGTTGCTCTGTCTTGGTATTCATACTCGTCGACTCCTTGGTGGCCACGCCATTGCCCGCCAAATTCGTGCCCGAGATATCTAAGTGTGTCAAATGACGCAGATTATCCATGAGCATAACGAGCGTCTGATCGGGCAGATCGTACGTGCCATGCCCATTGCCCGAACTCGATATTGAAATATCCAAAGTGGTAAGGCGACGCAAGCAGCAAATCGCATGCAACTGATTAGCAATGGGCCATACATTGAATAGAATCAGCGTGTGCAGGTTGGGCAGCATGCCAAGCGCCTCCAGACTAAAGTTCGCTAGCACGCAAGATGTGAGATCCAAGTGACTGAGGTCCTGCAAATGGGCGAACTGCAATCGATGATGCATAACTACGCCATTGAGCACCAGACGGCGCAAATGTGGGCAGGTCAATTGAAAGTCAACTGGCTCCTTTTCATTGGGTTCCGCATTCTGCAGCAGATGCGAACTGATGCCCAGCTCCAACGAGCGCAAGCTATCCCCATAATGGGCAAGCAGGTGATGTGATTGCACTGTGATCTTATCGCAGTACCACATGGACAAGGCGAATAGTTTGTGACGCATAAGCGTCTCCAGACCTAAAAGCGCAAGCAACAGAGGAAGAGGTTAGCAGAATAGTCTATACCAATAAGTCAAGAGTCTATCGTTAACACCCACCTTGGCTGGTCAGCGTGCTATACCGCAGATTTACAATCTTCAGCGATGTGCGACGGATGTCGCTAAATAGATTGATTACCCTATCGTCGAGTGGTCTATGGAAGCGTTGGTAATTTTCCAGAAATGCATCGCATATCTCGTTTGTTAGGACAATGCCTGCATTCAGTGTACGTTGACCGTTTTCCGTATAGCCACTGATTATGTCCAAATTGTTGCAAAGCTTCTGATAAGCGATCTCCTTTAGTGTTAACGGCTCCTCGTCCAGTGACCCATCCTCCATTAGCCGCACCTTGCAGCTCATCTTAGACAATTATTTCTGCTGTATTTCTACTATTCTCTTATTCTGCTTCTGCTCTCGCGTCTCTGATTCTGTATCTGTGATGCGGGCCACTGGGATAGGGAGATGGAACGGTATTACAATGCAATCCGTTCCCTTCAGATATAATTAGAGGGAGAAAAACTGGAATTTACGAATTGATTTATTCAAACGATAACTACAGCGCCAACATGATGTCATATTTTAGATCTTGTTTAAGTTAGAAAACAAGAAACAGTCAGTAAAATTTTTAAGAGTTTTCGTATCACAATTACCAGGCCCTGCATATGTACATATATGATAATGCTGAACAGCCAATGGAACGTTTCGGAACTTGTGACAGCAAGAAGTTGATAGAAGTCTTATTCTTATTATACATTTTCAGTTTGCTCATCTCTGCAGCCTGTGAAACGTTTACAAATTATTACCATAAAATTTATTGTATGTATGTATATATGTATATGTGTATCTATAAAAGAGAGCTATCCGATGGGACTTTGCTTTGCACTCCAAGGATTTACCTAAGTATGCTAATCGAATAATTTCTTAATCCAGGATCGTCGACACAGAGGCCATAATCCAAAATGTTTCTCAGCTTATCCGAATATTGATTATAAATTAAGAAAATGTTGAGATCATGCTACACGTGATTGTAAAATGCCTTAAATTAAATTTGGGGGGTGCCGCCAGAGACAAATTACGTAATATGTTGAAACAATTACTTGCAACAGTGTGCGTATATACATATATAGAAATATATATATCTGCGTGTGTGCATGTGTTTGGAAAGCTAGTGAACATGGAGCACAGGACGCACATAGAATGTCAACAACACCGAAAGAGTTGGCAACGCCAAAAAGAGCAAAAAAAATGACAATAATAACGTAATGAAGCAAATGCAGTTGCTTCAAGTCGAATATAAACAGAATCGTATACTACATACATATATATGAACAGTGTTATGTGCGTGCCCATGTAAATATTAACTGTAACAACAAAAAACTATTGGGATTGTCTCTTAGAAGCTGTTGGCGTGTGTGCGTGTGTACGACAGCCAGTCTGCGCTTATCAAGGCAAGGCCAGTGAGAAATTCGTGGCCAACATCATCAACAGCCCCTGTCGTAAAGCATATCAGCTGTGTGCAGCAGGTGCAGAGCTCTCACATACACATACAAACTACACTCGAACGAAAAAGTTTTGCACAATATTAACAACATAAATAAAGGAGCGAAGTTATATTCGCTTTCGTATTCGCTTTTTTTTGTGTGTACCTTTTTTCCCCAACGACTACGCAAGTCGCGACCAGTTGTCGATGATTGTTGCTGCTGCTGTGATGTCTTTGTCAAAAATGTCTAAAACTGGCTGTGAATACGATTGATTGAAGGCGCCACAATGTTTGCAACACGCTAACATTCCTGCTGCGCTGCACACAAACTGAAATTTATTGTTTTTTTTACGGCCGAATCTGTTGGATTATTCACTTTTTGGCATCATATTTTCTATTTTTCTTTCATACTATGCTTCTTCTTTTACTGTGCTAACGCAAATTGAAGTCTGTTAACGCAATTCACAGAGCGCTGTTAACTAACATACAATATTCTTTTGGCATTGTCAACTGCTGCTGTTAACGTTAACAGAGTATCGGCTCTATCACAATTTATTCTCGATTGCTTGTCGATTTAGAAAATCGATTACTAATTTCAATTTCGGAACACCATTTGAATAGCAAACAAATCAAATAAATATATGTTCTGCTTTATGGGAAGCTAGTTTTTATTGTAAGTTTTAAGCGCAGAAATGAATCAAATTTACAATTTGTTAGTTTTATGCTTTGTTACTATATGTAACTTCAGAAGATGCACTATGCTTATTTTTATACAGTACTGGCGACAATTATTAGGGGTTAGTTCATAATACCTCAATCCTTTCATTTTTGATTCTGTTTATTATAATTATAATAGATACTGTGTGTTGAACCATAGCTGCTGCTCAAAAAATGTACAACCTCCTTCTTCGCCAAGTAATAAATAAGTGTTCTTTTGAGTTCTAGAATAAGTAAAAAAGAGGCTATTGCTGCCAGAGAAATGTCCGAATCTGTTAAGACTAAAGATACATTCGCTGTTTTATTTTCCTCATCCTAACCGGAAAGATCACCCTGATCGAAAAGCGCCTGATCATATAGCTCGGCCACCACTCGACGTCCTCCAAAGAAACGCCCATGGAGGGCATCCTTGCCACGCACAGCTTCAACCCCTGCTGAGAATTCCACAAAGATTTTCACAATAATTTCTGCCTCGTCATCGTCCTCGTTTTCCGTTTGCTTTTCGTTGAAGATGATAACACGACTAACTGTGCCAAATTTGCTGCACTCTTCTTGGATCTCCTCCTGTAAAGTCTCATCCACATCATCGGGTCCGACCATATTTCGCAAGATGATGACACGCGAGTCCTGTGGCCGCATTAGCCTTTGCATCACCAGCTGACGTGCACTTTGTCCCTTGATGGACATATTCTCTTGCTGCTGAAGCGTCTGCACATCGCCCTCGTCCATCAGCTTCTTTTGTAGCTCCTCCTGTTGCTTTTCCTGTGCCTTCTTAATATTCTCGGACAGATTTGCTGCAGTGGCCGCAGCATTGTTGGCGGCTGCTGACAAAACCACTGGCGTTCCGTTGCTTGCCTCTACGATTCCAAGCGGCACAGCTGAAACCGCAGCGGGCACTGCCGCTGCAGCGGCTGCTAAAGCAACAGCTGATGGCGGCGTCGCAAGCAACGCTGGAGGCGGTAGTGTCGGTGCCACACTCTGAAGCGTGGGCAGGCCAGTTGGCACCCCTAACAAACTGGGACCACCCAAGCCAGGCGCCTGGTACATGCCTGGAGGCAACAAAGCGGCGGCTGGCGCCGTAGGCACCGCCAGCGCTGGATGCAGAGCTGCAGCCGAGGTAACTGCACTAACAACGGGCATGGCATTCACCTTGGCCGCAATCCCTAAGCCGGGTGTGTTTTGCGCCAAACCCAGGACTGCATTGCTAGCGACAGCATCCAGAGCTTGAATCTTAGCTGTGGCAGCTGCCGCAGCAACAGCTGCAGCCGTTGGCATTGTTGAATTTGTAGCAGGGCAGGACAAAACATTTGGCGGCGTAATCGATCGACCAACGCTAGAGAATTACAAGAGATTACGACCGCATTAAAGCTATATATCTAGTTTTAACTTACCGCAGCAACTGGCCACCCAAATCGAAGAGATTCATGCTAGCAATGGCCTCGTCCATGGCCTGTTTGTTAGCATACTCGATAAAACCGTAGCCCTTGTGCGTGTGCACAGATGTGCCTTGAGCTAGCTTACAATAGAGAATAGGTCCAAATGCCTCAAATACGCTTTTAATGTCATCCTCCGAAAGATCTGGATGTATAGATGCCACATATATGCGGTTGAAACTTTTGGCCTCCTCTTGTACCTCATCGATAACCTGTTGTGCCTGTGGCATGTTGCTTGGCCGACCCACTTTGATGTTTCGGCCACCCATCAGGGCGCCATTCATTTGCTCCAGTGCCAATTGCGCTCCTTCTGGTATTTCATACTCAACAAATGCAAAGCCTTTGTGCTTTTGTGTAATGGGGTCCCAGGACATGTTAATGGATTTTATGGGTCCAAAGGGTGTAAAGGCGGCGCGAATTGTGTCCTCCTTGAGCTCGAAAGAAATGCTGCCCACGTAGACTCTGAAAGCAAATAGATATCAATAAAAGGCAGAATGGAGCTAAGACCTAGCTATACACTTGAAATCAGATCTTATCAGCTAAGCTGCACAGTTAACAACATGTGTTTCCAGTTTCAGTAACACGAATCACTGGATACTCCAAGAAGTTATTCACCAAATACTCTCCATATTTTGCATCATGAACGTTATTAAATGACTGAACTTATTTATAAATGTATTTCTTTAATTACCTGCACATCAAAGCTAGAGCCTGTTGTCTTTGCACCTGGGTGCGTTGGGTGGCCAATTGTTGTTGCTGATGGGCGAGTGTTTGCTTCATCAAAACCATTTTAATACTCTGCTCCATGGCATACTTTTTGGCCTTGCTAACCAGATCATGTTGCTCCGATGTCAGCTTGGGCAGAGCACCTCCCAGTAATCCCAACAGAGCGGATCGTGTGCCAGGTCCAAATTTAACATCACCAGTCTGTTTCAGATCGTACAATGGCTGCGAAAGGTAGGGAATTTTCGTATCCGCCGACTTGCCTAAAATTTGGGAAAACAGATTAGTGCATCTCATACGATGTTTGGATAATGGGCTCATTCAGTAAACCGATCAGGGTTAAGCGATCGTTTAAGCATTTTTCTCTTTTCTTTTTAGTTTGATTTGATTTCTGTTTTCATAAGTTTTGTGTCGAGTTCAAAGTGCAACTTGAGCAATAGCTGCTAAAGTCAACAATTTGAAGCGATACGAAACAAAAACCGATGCCTGCAAGAAAGATAAAGACAAAAAGGAAAAAATAGAGAAAAAAAAATTATTAATTATAAAAAACTTTTGCTGGCCGGCGAACTGTACATACATATATAGTTAGTATATATGTATATATAGATGTAACTGTGTGTTCTGGAGAAGACCTGTCTCGAACTGCTTGTACGCGGGCCAATTGCCGACCGGCAGATGATTCAGTCACACAGATTCAATCGAGAAGCTACAACACAATGACAGTTAAAAGCTATCGATGCATTACTCGTTACGTTTAAATTCAATAGATTTTTAACAGTTATCGTTTATCGGTTTTTGTCATCTTTTGCATCACAATTATATATATTCTTTCAATTTATTTTTGAGTTTTGCTTGATAAAAAAAAAAGATGATTTGGATTTGCGTAATAGATAGTGTCTGACAGATAGCAAGGCATTTGATTTCTCATTCGCAAAGGCTGGAAAATGCAAGAATAAAAAGAAAGCACCCGTAAAATTTAAAACATAAATTAGACTAGAAAGTTTAAAAATGTTCGATATACGTAGGCTGTGCTAATAATACAATAAAATACAACAGTGTTTGTGTCTGTGTAATGGCAATTAATAGATAAATGCAGTTATATCGAGTATATCAATCTAAATAATAAAACTCTTCCAACGGACATCCAGCCGGCAAATCGTCGCCGCACAAATCGAAACCAAAGAAGAAAATACTAAGAGCTGTGCACACTGAAAAATTCCACCAAGACCAAAAAAATATTTGGATTCAAAATGCAAAGCCAGTTGATATATACAGATCGTTCGTGTCGACTAGCTGAACTTAACGGTGTGCACAATTCCTGTAAATGTATTTGTAAAAATAGAAATTATAAGCGACCTTAGATATGTGCGTTTCGATACGGTTTCCATGAGTTGGGGGCGTGGTATATTGACTTGAAGGGTCACACATTACATTGCTCAGTGATAAAAAAGAGAAAAATAAAAAGAAAAACAAGACGCTGAAACGATAATAAGAGCAACAATATGTTTTTAAGTTGGTTAAGTTTTTCCGCCGTACCTTAATCATGTGTGTATGTTTTTCAATGTGTGTATTGTCATATATATTTACTATTTATATGTATATTACTGTATTTTGATTTTTTTTTTTTTCTTTTTACTTGAGCTAACTAAATAAAAATCTACATCATTAAAAATCGTTTAGATCTGTGTMATAAAATATATAAATATGTAGACACTTGAGCACTACATATATTGAAGTCTTTAAACTATTGGACCTTGGATTTCTTAATTTTCTGCAAAATCTAGCAATGCTTGAAGTGTGTTAAAGATGGGCGCGTGTTAGATTTATATTAGCTAGCTAGTGTGGTAGCACTCACGACTTGTGTGCCAATTCAGACATTTTAAGTCACGCGCCCAACTATAATGTTCATATTTAAATATTCTGCGGTATTTCAAGAATAGTAATCGATCAGTCCAACGCGTTGTTGCAGCACATTGTACAGGCGAAGACGACGACGACGCAGCTCAGKGTGCGGGAACCGCGACGTGGACGTAGAAATCGGCAAGAAATGTTGTTAAAAGCAAGTAAATGCAACTCGGTTGTTGTTGTTGTTGTATCTTGGTGGGTAGYAGCAGTTGGTTTTGTCAATACTCTCTATACAGGGCATCTCTTGATCGATGTCAATTCTTGATTGGCGAGTCAAAAGAACCAAGTCGTTTGGTCGGAACAAACATAAGAAAATACGCTTACAAAATAAATGAAAAAAGAAGATATATATAGAAGAAATAGAGAGAGAGAGAGATAGGGAGAGAGAGAATAGTTATATGCTTTTAAGATTAGTTTTTGATCATTGCGATTCAGTATTGATGCGGCGAAGATTCACTATTTTTATACATACACGCATACATTCTGGCTGTACCCTAGTTACAATACATTAAATAAGTATTATATTATTTGCCAAGCAATATGCCTATGCTTGATTATGTATTAGTTGGTTTATTATATTAGGTATATTTGGCGATATTTTGTTCTTGTGTTTCGCACTCTCTCATAATGACGACACATATTGACAGTATTATGTGGGCACGAGTTGATTCGCAATTAGTTTCGAGTATCGCGCGTGTGCTTTGGACTGACTTGACTGTTTCGATATTTGTTTCGTATTCGTATTGGTTATTTGTTTGACTCTCACCTCACCTCACTTGAGATCATCGTGCGTTTATGAAGTCTGCAATTACTTAAGCAGAACAAAAAGAAAAACCGATTATTTAATAACGTCTGTGCTGGCCCTTTAAATGCAACGAAGTAGTAGTAAAAAGAGAGAGAGAGAGAGAGAGACAGAGAGAGATGTGTATGCAAATGTATATGTTTACAAAAAATTATAATAATGATATTTATTTGTATATACATATATTCCTTTTGTTTGATTTGTTGCCTTGCGTTTCATTTACCTACATATATATGTATATATTTATCTTGCTCTTTGATAAACTTACGTACATAAATATATATTTATATATATATTCAATTGATATACATATACTTATATGCTTAATAAGAATTATGTGCATCCCCGACCAGACGAAACACTTACCCGAGTCTGAGCGCGAACGCTTTGTGGCTGGCATTTCGCCGATATCGCGCTGGTCATCCGAACGTGGCGATCTGGAGGCTCTATCGTTGCTTCCCTGCAAGTTCAAAAATAGAAGGTCACTCGGTTAGTATATAACTATATATACATATGTACGTATAGGGCTAAATGTTTATTCCCTACCCTATACATATGTATCTATACACACATGCATATACGCATATATATACATACATATACATATGTAATATATTCAAGTGTAGATACACACGCGGAGTAAATTGTACGACTGCTAAAAGTAATACTTGTTCTGTGCCGAATCCTGCATCCTAACAAATAGCCAACTATGATTTTCATAATGAAAATTCACATAAACGACGAATTAACTTCGAAATACAGTTTGCAGCACACGCATCGCAGCTGCCGCAGCCGCCGACCACGCCAAATGAAAATTTCACAAAACAAATTATATACACAACGAAACTGCTATATTAATTAATATAAACCTACCATCGTCTTAGTGCGCAGAGTTAAAACTTTTTTTAGTTTATTTAATTATTTATATATAGGATTTAAATTGAAGATTAATATTTTGCGAAAACGAGTGACGTCAAGAAAAATGGATACGACGAAAAGTACTTGAGTGGCATCGATACTACTATATCTGCAAATTATCGATGCCTGTTAACATTTAGAGCTGTAGACTTTACAGTGTAAAGTATCGGTTTGAGGTGCTTATTCACTGTTATCGATGTTGTACGTTAAAGAAAGACGATGAGATTTAGCCGGCTGAACGTGCCGATCAGTTTTTAAATAAGATAATGAGAACAAGCATCTTACCATTACAATGACTAAGCTCGCGTGTGCACACATATGTGGAAGCTAGAAAATATACAGATCTTTTTTTATACTTAAGTGATAACTTTAATGTTAATGGATTCCATTTGTTGATTCAACTGCAAGGGTACGTTTTCTTTTATTATGCATCCAATTTGTCTTATTAATAACAACTAATATCTAGCTTACTCATATATACAACGTCCGTACACAATTGATCGCAGTTTTTTTTTCTGTTACTTTTGTTGTTATTTTATTTTATTTTATTTTTTTTTGCTTTTTTTTTGGGTATTTTATTCTCCTTTGTTTTAAATAAAACACTAATTTAAGTACGAAGGCAATCTTGGTGCGAGCAATCCGTTGTGTTGTATGTTGTTGTATGTGTGTATGACGGAGTTTATGTAAGTGGCAGTTGCATATGTCACGACATATTAGAAAGACAATAACAAAAAAGCTGCATATATGTATATACAAAGTTAAATCAGAAGGAACTATTTCCGAAAAGATACAAATTCAAATTTCTTCACTATTACTGGTATTAATATTATTATTTACAAACAGTTTAACCGTTCAATGAATCACATTATGCCTTTTTGTGCAATTGGCAATTATATGTATGTATATGAAATCAGCCGCTTGTATCTGTACAATATGCACATATACATATGTATGTCTATGCATGTATGGATGTGTGTGTGTGTGTGTTTATGTGTGTGTGTGTGTGTGTGTAATTAATTTAAAGCTAGCGTCAGTCGTAGGACTATCTTTCAGTTTCATTTCAAATCATCTTTTCATTGTCGAATGTCTTCAAATAAAAATTTCCTTCAACCCATCTCAAGACTAATAGAAAAAAACTTAGAAGCTATAGGATTGACAATTGTCGTAGCTCTAATGACAATTGCTGTAGTTCTTAGCCAAGTCTAAAGACATGGTTTGCACAAAATTAAATTAATGAGACCAGACTAATTGTAAAAGTTTTCTAAGTACACGTTTTCCATATTCAAAATTAAGTATTCAATCTTTTTCTAGGTCTTTGTAGGAGCTTTGGTTGAGCAAAGACGTCGACGATCCGGGTATCTGTTCTGTTGGAGGCGGCGACGACAGCAGCTTTACAAGCTCGAATACCGCCCGTCCGCCCTACCGTTCATTTCATGCACGACGTTATGCGTTGTTGATAGAGATGTTTATCTAGTTCAGTAGATCATCTTCCATGTTGTGTATCAGTATCTTTTTATCCTCCTTAACGCAAGGCGACTTTTTATCGCGTCCTGAGAACTGTTGCTCCACAAGTTTAGGATCAAAACAGGGCTATAGAGAGTGATTACATTAGTAGCTACTATTACTATTATTATTATAGGGGTAACAAACCGTTTCACAAATATTCATATTACAACAGTTTTCTATCGTAATCTCGCATTGCTCTGTGGCTAGTGGCCGATTGGTTAAAGGTGTATCACTAGTGGAATTCAAACGGGCTTGTTTGCGCACTACAAAAGTCTTCTTAATGCGTGGGCGTTTAGGCTTGTGGATGAGACGGAAACCATGCACAATGACGGCTACCAGAGCGAGACTGGAGACGACGCCAACAACAAGTACAATTATCAATGAACCTTGTCTATAGCTGGGAATATCGCTGCAGAAAGATGATGATTGGTATTCCCTGACAATTGTGGCATTGGTCAAACGCAACTCCTCACAGCTAGTAGAAGACATTTATTAGTAATTAATTTGTACAATATAAGCATATATACAATATATCCAGTGAAGCTACTCACATGTCCATACAGGGGGCTGGCACAAATGCATCCGGATGTTCTTTCAAATGCTGACAATAACTTCCACAGTGGGCCGTTTCGTTGTGCTCGCATCGTGTGCCCGTAAAGTTGTCCCGGCAATCGCAGCTCATTTCCCCACTGTCCCTATCCACGGTGCAATGACCACCGTTCAGGCAATGGTTATTGCATTTGTAGTATTCACAGCGTTCGCCATAGAAATCCGTTTGGCAATAGCATTTGGGATAGCCCATGCTAGAGATTTCACAGGTACCATGCACACAATAATTATGACATTCAGATATCTCACAACGCGCACCCTTGAAGCCCACCTGGCAGATGCAGAAGTTGCCCTTGGTCATATAGGTGGCACCGTTCAAACAATGTTCTCGCTCCAACTCTTCTATGCGATCGTCGACAGCGGTTCTTGATTGCGGCCTGTTGTTGAGCCTGTTGTCCAGACGCTGTTTGACCTTTTTCACTACGCTAGCGCAATGGGCATCCTTTTGAAGATGTTGATAAAAGCCTGTGCGTGCCACTATGCCATAGACATCCTCCTTCCAGCTGGCTAGCTTTATTGGCTCCACCACCGGCTCCGTAGCATTCGTTGCAAGTGTTTTATTAGCTGGCTTGGGGTAGCTCCAGACTGCTTTATCCGCCTTGTCGGTCCAATAGATTGTTTCATCTGTGATGGCCAGTTGTATAGGACTCTGATGCTTGTCCTCAAGCACCAGTTGGCGATCGCTGCCATCTAGTCGAGCACTTTCTATTGCAAAGAATATGCCCACCTTGTCATCGATCCAGTAGATGCGATCAGATTGCTGATCGATCACAATGCCACGTGGCATGTCGATGTCCTCCTTGATAATCACTTGTCTGCCCGTGCCGTTCAATCCGATACGTTCTACGGAAGCATGATTGATCTTCGAGTTCGTCCAGTACAGCTGACGGCGACATATATCCACAGCCACGCCATCTGGTCGTCCACCTTCGGCGCTCAGATCTACTAGCACCTTAGGCGGTTCCGTGAGTAATGTGTCGACGCTGGCAAAGTAAATCCGGCTCTGACGCATGTCCGCCCAGAACAAATTCCGGTTCAGCGGATCGAAAGCTAATCCGGATACGGAACCATTGCCTATACGTTGCACTGCCTGCTCCACAATGTGCGGCGCAACCGCAGCATCGCGTCGCAGCGAAAATATGCTGCCATTCTGATGCTGTTGGTCATTAAAATAGATCACTTCCTCAGCCTCATCAAAAGCCAACGCTGATATCCCCTCGAATTCGTGGGCTGCAGAGGAGACTGTTTTAAATTTGTTGTCGAGAAACAGAAGCTTGTCGCGTAGCGTAACGGCAAAGTCTGAAAAGAAATGCGAAACCTGCATTAGTTGGCATTTAATAATATCGATAAGATAAAAACAGTCATTGGCTATTCATAAATGGGTATTGGAACGCTATTCAGGCAGAAGAGGAAAATACTGTTTTGCACGTATAGTTCAATTGACGATTACCTACATATAAAAGGCAACTATCGATGTCAAAGAGTTGTTCTGAAATAAGCTAAAATGGATGTGAAGCTGGTTCATGAGAAATCATATGGAAAATTTAGTTTAATCAAGGGAACTGCTTAGGCGGGAGCAAGAGGAATCTACTAAAGAGATCGGTATTGATGTCTATCGAAAGAATATGTCTTCGGCTTTTTATAATAAAGTGTGGAGCAGGGGCGGCGGAGTGGGACCTGGTGCAACAGCAGGCATATTGAAAATTAAGTTCGATCAATCGTATTCAATTAAGTTTGCACCACATTTTTACTACACCCTCTCAGCTGTCGCTTTCTACATTGATTATTGGAGGCCAATAGTATTTCAATCAATATTAATTTTATTCATATAAATTTAGAATTTATACACGAATTTCATTCAATTACGCGACAGTATTCTAAATTACTTTGATCGTTAGCAAATTAAATTAATAAGTTTCATTTACTGCACATTTACAACTTTTAAATATATTAATATTTAAGATGAAAATAGTTGAAATTCGAGTTAATTAGTGTTACTAGTGACACTTCCCATCATCGAGCGATTACTGTATTAAATTATTGACGGTCGAATTATGAGATGCATGACATCGTTGCACAACTCTCCCACTGAGCGCGTCCGATTGATAAGATAACAAGCGATTGACCCAGGGCTCAAATGGAAATCCCATATGAAAATTTCCCCGAAGTAAAGAAAAATATGCATAGGCCAACAGGCCAACACGTAATATGAATAAAGGTTGCTATAGGTGGCTTTGCTGCCCACCTTTGCACGTAAATCACGACTTAGTGAAAAGAAAGAACGTCAATGCCAACGAAAAGTTTTAAGAATCACAGCAATCCACATATGCTAAAAACAAACCATACAAAGCAAAGCTAATTGTTGTCAGACCGGTTGAACACCCAAAAAAGGCCCAACTCTGTGGCCAACATGCAGCTGTTAATTAGGCATTTATTTAAATACATTTTAATAAAGTGCCCGAGCAAACAAATATAGGTATCGCGGAAACAGGCTACAGAACTACCTGACAAATATAAAATAAAACAATATAACGGAAGCTGCGCACTGGATACATAAACGCTTGTTTGTTTGCGAAGGCTGCAACAGGTGTTGGCGAATGGGCTTTCACTTTCACAGACGTTCTAGCGATCGATTTATCGATACATAGATTGTGGTATTGCGGTCAATAATTGATTGGCCATTGACCATTGACCAAAGTCGCCAACATTTGTGGGTCACTGGTCACTGTTGCGTTCAAAGTATCGCGTGGCTAGCTCGCTTTGACTCTACAAAAACCAAAATAAATAGCAAGAAAAGCGAGATAGATTAACTTTGCCTAGACGAAGTCTAAATACCATTGTCCCGTTTATATGAACTCCGATGCAATCTTTCCCACAAAAGAGCTAAGTCTTTAAAGACTAATATACTATATAGAGAAGCTGAAAATTGATCGATTATTGTTATAAGACGAACAATTTTCAATCATCCCGTTTTGTTTTTTTTTTTAGCTTCTTACAGTCAAACTAGCAAACATATTTCATGTGCACGATCCAATTATCGTAAAAGGTAAGATGGCACCCATGCCAAGTTTCGCAGTTATGTTACATTTTTCGTGAGCAGCTGATAATGACCCCCTGGCAAGGGCATACATAGTTATATATAGCCAATCGTTAGATGTTGTCTATATACTGATATATACATATGCATGTATACATTGGCATATATGCAGAGGTTTTGCTTAATTTTATTTGTTTTGTATATATTTTTCGCGAACCTTTCCAACGTTTCGAGCCGTTGTAGTCCAATATATATATATGAGCATATTTTAACCTTCGCACTTGGGGCTTTGAGGTCAACGGCTTATCGATGCAGAAAAAATGTTGAATTTTAAAATAGATTTACATGCTTATAGCTTATTAGCTAAATAAATATAAATTCAATAAAAATCATTTAATATTTCAGTACCGCCTTTAAAAAAGGCAATTAGTGCGATATTGATATACGGTTTTATATTTATGACTTACATACATTTTTAATTTTAATTCTATTTTTGTTTTTATTTTTTAATTTGCTTCACAAAATCTGTAATATATACACGATAATCCAGTGAGCAATGACACAGACTTATTGCCAATGTCAGATAATCCTAATGAACTCTACTTAAAAATGAAAAATATTCAGCAAGTCTTAGCTTCGACCTGAGATTTACTTGAAGTTAAAAATTTCAATTATTAAGAAAAATTTAGTAATATAATACTAGGGAGACTTTCTCTAAATCGCTATACAACAATCTTGTAAATATAACTGAGAAAAACCTGTTTCATCAAATGTGTATTCAAAGCCCGTTGTTAGAAAAGAGTTCGCTCAATATTTACTTAGTAAATATCAACAGATGTTTGTATATGTATATTTCGTGAATACACCTGCGAATAATACATAAATTCTATTTCATCATTAAGCTTTAATTAACTTGAATTTTTTTTGATAGCTTTGCTTCTTGTCCTATAAAATTCTAAGTAATGAAAATGTAAACAATTAATGTAACTTAGATTTATTGCAGGCAGCAACAAGTGGCTCTTTCGGCTAGCACGTGGAATGCATGAATGTCGATTACTTATCGGATCCGTAACTCAAAGAGCTACATATGGATGTATATAAAAGTACGAATTCACATGCATAACTACATATATGCACATGCATGCATGCATATGTATGCATATATGTATGTATTGACATGTGTACGGCACTATATCAGAATTCGATTCGGATTGCGTGGTTTGGATTCCACTTGATCAAAATAACGATTAAATCGAAACAGTGTGTGTTTAAATTTTGTTAGCGTCAGCTTTTTTCTGAAGTTGAAGTAAAATGAGAGCAAAAMGTAAACAACACACACACACACACACAAAGAAGCTGTGTGAAAGAAGAGACTGAAGTATTGGGAAATAAAAAACCGTTAAAGTCAGCAAAAACTATCAACATTTTTCGGCATACGTGACAATATACCAACTCTAAATGGCGGCCAGGCTATTTTTTTCAATGCTACAGGCAATGTACTTGGATTCTCTCTCTCTTTCGCTTACTCTCGCTCTCTCTATTGAGTGGGGGTGAAAGTCGCATAGCAAATTGATGATAGAAATGGCAATGGCTATATGTGTATTTATGTAGAAGGATATGTCTACGCTAGAACCGATTTGCGTTGTGCATTATGAAATTGCCAATAATTGAACTTGAATTGATAAAGCAACATCGAGAAGGTGATAACACGAATGCGGCAAATACAACGAAGAAAACAGAATGGCATAATCAGCTGATAGATAGCATACACACGCATGCATGACACGTACAGCCCGTTAAACATGGCCAAAAAAACATATATACATATACATATATGAACATACATACAGACGGCCACATTCATAATTGAAAATAGTCTAGAATGTCTATTTTAAATGTCCCGTGATTACATAAGCAAAAAACAAGCGCATTGTATGCCAAATTGATGGCAAATTGATTTCTATTAACGGGCCACGCTGCCTCTGCAATCGGTCGAGCTGTCAGGTGCACGGACAGCGTTGCCACAGAAATTTTTGAGCACTTTCCTAACCAATATAAACTGGAACACTACTCAATTGTGTAATAGCTTGACTGTCATTATCTCTGAAGGATTACACTTACCCCAGCCAATTGGAGATGCGACAGCTAGTGGCGAGTAAAAATTAGATACTATAAACAAGACAGCCAAAACCAGCTGTTGCAATGAACACAATTTCATTTTATATAAATTTTGGTATATTTATATCGGAAATGGACGCACGACGATATTTATATTATGCTTAATCCTCTTGTGAACTCGCTTTTGCACGTGCAGTTGAGAGTTTAGAGAAAACGTCGGGCGGGAAGCATGCGTTGCTTAATTTTACGTTAAAATTCACCGTCGGTCTTCGATAGGTGCCCGATGCACCACAAGCTCGAATCACTTAATTCACTAAAGTGAATTGATCAGCCGCTACCCTAAGCGGCCTTATATTGTGCATTGGATATTTTTTAGTACATTTTTGCGGACAAAGTGTTGCCCTATCGCTGAAAAAATGTGTAATTGTGAACAGTTTTATTTATTAAATTAAAACAAGTAAGAACTTTGTTATATACGTACAGTGACGAACTAAATCATTGGCACAGCAAAGCGTAACTGTACTGGACCTCTAAAGAGGTCATCGATAGAGGGTCATCACCCGATTTTAGTGTGTTGTATTGTATAACCATGTAAAATAACTATTCTCTATTTTCAACTGTATATGAAATGTAAAAAGACAATATATTAGGATTTTATCAATTTGTTGTTGAGGGGGGAATTGTGTTGATTTAGTTCAGTCTATTAAGAAATATATATGACACCTTCCCAAACCTCAAAAATGTTTCGATTGAAAAGTGCGCCAAGAGAGAGCCATAGTCATAGCGGTAAATATTTTGTCGTTATAAACCGATTTCTATCGCCATACATGCTTAAATATTTCGTCCAGCAGGCCGCAACCAACTAAAATAGTTATTGATGGTATATATCGATTACTATCGCCACGTGATCTTAAATATATCGTCCAGCAAGTCGTAGCGTGTGTGGGGATCCAGTGTTCGTAAATCAGTGGAGAGTGGGACTCGCGCATTGCTCTGCAAATACAACGTTTAATATTTAAAAACAAATGCCATGTACAAAAATGTGCTAAAAGGAGGTATACGTACAGCAAAGCAGGCCTGGAAATTCCGAAACGGTAATTAAAATCAAATTTTCATTGAACAATTTTTTGGATAAAAGCAAAATAATTCGGGCTGCATAACTAGGACTCTCATCAGCTGTGCGTGGCCCAATTCCTAAACGTACCAAGCGCAAGTGGGTCACACTGTTAGCTTGTTGTTGTTTTTTGTTTTTTCGCCACCAGCAGAAGCCGCCAGCAGTTGCTTGCAGTATTTCATACAGTCTCTATATAAATTGTCCTCTACCTTAAATTAATAACATATACATATACATATGTATAGTGTTCTATTAAATTTAACATTATCGGTCTTTGAAACGTCATATTTGCAGAACTTGGTAAACTCAATTTGGACTTAGCCAAAGCAAATTCCGATTTTGAACAGCATTTGTGTGAAGGTGAGAATAATACAGCCAACTGATATATACAAACCCTTTCGATTCCTTCTCCTTCCATCTCCCTCTTACTCTCTAGCCCACCCCAGCCTGCAGCTTGTTTCCGACCTTAACAATATAAAAAAGCGCTGCTAAACGCATTTCACGATGTGTTAAATACTATAATAATATTAGTAATAATCCTTTGTGTTAGTATTCGTTCACTTCTAGTTTCAGTGTGCAATCCGCTACCCGCCGCACGCTCTCCCGCAACTAAACCATATTCAACTGCAGCGTGGAAACTGGCTCTGTTGCTCCGTTGCGCTTGTGCTTTTACTAACGCCCCCTGGTTACGCCCACGCCTCTGCCTGTATACCCTGTGCCTTAATAGCGCTGATAAGTATTCTGCGTATCTACTCTGTTCAGAGAGTTGCCACCTAAGCACCTTGACCTCATCGAAGCAGTTTGTGAAGGTACAGAAACAGTTCTATCGCGACTACTCTGACGTCTCATTGGGCGCTCCACTGAAAACCACTGACGCACCCTTGCTGGGTGATCTGTGTAATCGATATCGCGATATACTCGCTCGAACATCGGCCGATTTGCTTGATCCGCGTGCAGGACAACAACAACAACAATTAAGTTCTAATCGAGGCATTCACAGCTGTTGCAAACGTCGTCAAGAGGAACAGTTAGACAGTCATAACAATATGGCCCCATCGGATGAGAGCGAATTTCAGCGTCTACCCACATGCGTGGTGCCAACGCATTACGAGCTAATGCTACAGCCCGATCTGAAAGCATTTAGTTTTACGGGCAAGACAATTGTGCAAATAAGTGTAAGTACCGTTATATTACGTTACGTTTTTTCTGTTTGTTTTCGTTCACTTTGCAGCCTCTGGCCACTTTCRCTTTCACTTTGAATACAAATCATAAATATGTATGCAGGTCTCTCTTGCTCTCTCACTCAACGTTTGCTCGTGAATTTTATTTCTGACGTGTGCAAAAAAAAAAAACCTTTTCCCTTATACACACATATAGGCGAGTGCGCTATAACTTGACTGTGTTTGTGCATTTACGTGTGTGTTCCAATGAGATTTTCTCTTTATGTTACAATTTGCATGCAGGCTACATTCGATGAACATTTTTCTTTGTTATGCTTTGGAAACAGCGATGACAGCCATTTATTATGGAGACATATACATACATATGTACACACATATATGAATTTGTATATATGTAGATAGATAAATATATATTATATATACATATACATATATATTCATTTAAAGCACATTGCGCCGCATTAGTTGGCGAAACGTCTCCTCTAGTTCGTTCACATTGTCGACGCCTCTGTTGATCTCATAACGGTACACATATTGTGTTTACGTTTATCGGAAGACGCAGGTGCAGGTTTCATGCTTTAAATTTTAAGTCACGAATCGAGTACACTATATATAGTAAAAAAAACATAAACAGAAATGCTTCTTTAAATTAAAGCTGTGGCTGCTGTTTCAACTGAAATACAAACAAAACGTTGGCCAAAACGAGTTTAAAGCGGCCCGGAAACCGGACACATAATAGACACTCAATAAGTGAAATACGCGTAATTCGGGCACCTATCAAAAACAAAAATGAACAGTAATACAAATCGCTGAACGTTTTAAATTGTTTTAAAGAGATTTGGCGAATTTCATGCTCCATCATTTGTGACCTTGAAATTGTGAAATGATATCGTGAACCTACATTTGTTTGGATGTTATCTTCTCGACTGTGGGTTTCGTATCATACATATATGTATATTGTTATTTATATTCATATTTATCTACTCTTTGATAAAAATGAGTGGGGTATTGGAGAGTCATTGCCCATCTGAATGTTTCTACTCTCCTTATCAGCAGTCATAAGATTTTATTTTAGATATAGTGTCGGTCCATATAATGCTTGTATATATGTCTTAGTCTTTTGCGGCCTAATAGAGTGTTCAAATATTGCTCACTATTCATTTATCGAATATGCAATATGTAAACTGATAAGAATTACATGAAAAGTCATTATACGTAACCTCTTGCTCTTACCTCTTGCTCTTAGTATTTGTCTTTTGAATAAATATTTTTTAGCGGATATATGTTAGTGTAGTACACCACTATTGTCTTTTGGTAGTGTGATAAATGATGACAGCACTCAATATATATTTAATTATATATGTGTCTATATAACAGACGACCGTAGACTTGTTGCTCGTTTTTGCGCTGCAGTTCCTCGAAGTATTTAAAATTACAGTTATTATTATTATGTCTATTATGTTTTGCAGGTCATAGAGCCAACTACTCGCATTACCCTCAATGCGCTGGACATAACGATCGAGGGAGCAGAGTTTCACTATGAATGCGAGAAACTTAAGGCACAGCAAATTATCTACTCCAAGGAGAAGGAGACGGCTACACTGGATTTCCAAAAGCAGCTGCCAGTGGGCACACCAGGCGTCCTGTACATGACCTTCACCGGGGAGTTGAATGACAAGATGAAGGGCTTCTATAGGAGCAAATACTTTACGGCCTCTGGCGAGGAGCGCTATGCGGGAGTCACCCAATTCGAGGCAACGGATGCCCGTCGCTGCTTTCCCTGCTGGGATGAGCCGGCCATTAAAGCCACCTTCGACATAACGTTAACAGTGCCGAAGGACCGTGTCGCTCTGTCCAATATGCCGGTGAAAAAAGAGGATATCCTGCCCAGCGGTTTGCGTCGCGTCCGTTTTGATCGCACACCCGTTATGTCCACTTACCTGGTGGCCGTTGTTGTGGGAGAATATGATTTTGTGGAGGCTAAGTCAGATGATGGAGTGCTTGTGCGCGTCTTCACACCTGTAGGAAAGAAGGAGCAAGGACAGTTCGCATTGGAGGTGGCCACCAGAGTGTTGCCCTACTACAAAAGCTATTTCAATATTGCATATCCGCTGCCTAAAATGGATTTGATTGCCATATCGGATTTTTCAGCGGGCGCTATGGAGAACTGGGGTCTGGTCACCTATCGCGAAACGTTCGTCCTTGTAGATCCGAAGAATACGTCTTTGATGCGAAAGCAATCGATTGCTCTCACTGTGGGTCATGAGATTGCCCATCAGTGGTTTGGTGAGCGAATGATCAAAGTCTGCATGTAATCCTTGCTAATGCTCTGCTTTATTCCAGGGAATCTGGTCACCATGGAGTGGTGGACACATTTGTGGCTAAACGAGGGATACGCCTCCTTTGTGGAGTTCCTTTGCGTCCATCATCTGTTTCCCGAATACGACATTTGGACACAGTTTGTCACGGATATGTATACCCGTGCTTTGGAATTAGATTCGTTAAAGAACTCGCATCCTATTGAGGTGCCAGTGGGTCATCCCTCAGAGATTGATGAGATCTTTGATGAGATTAGCTATAACAAAGGCGCCTCGGTCATACGCATGCTCCACGATTACATTGGCGAGGATGATTTCCGCAAGGGAATGAATATTTACTTGACCAGGCATCAGTATAGCAACACTTGCACCGAGGATCTATGGGAGGCTCTGCAGGAGGCCAGTTCCAAGAATGTGGGCGCTGTCATGTCTAGCTGGATAAAGTACAAGGGCTTTCCGGTTGTCACCGTTGAGTCCAAACAGAAGAGTGAAACACAGCGTGTGCTGCGCTTGACTCAGAGCAAATTCACAGCGGATGGCTCGCAGCCAGCTAAAAATAACTTGTGGGTGATACCCATTTCGGTGTCCACATCGCGTAATCCCAATCAGATTGCCAAGACTTTCCTTCTTGAAAAGGAATCCATGGAAATTGTGCTGGATAATGTGAGTGCAGATGACTGGATCAAAATCAATCCAGGCACAGTTGGCTACTATCGCACTCGTTACTCCAAGGATATGCTAGAAAAACTAATGCCCGCTGTGGAGAGCATGCAGCTGCCCCCGCTTGACAGACTCGGTCTGATTGATGATATGTTTGCCATGGTGCAGGCTGGCAAGGCCAGCACCGTCGATGTGCTCCGATTGGTGGGGAGCTATCGAAACGAGACCAACTATACCGTCTGGACAGCCATTACCAATTCGCTCACCAATCTGCACATTCTGATCTCTCACACGGATCTTATGGATGACTTTAACATCTTTGGACGCAGCCTTTACGAACCGGTGGCCGCGCGTTTGGGTTGGGAACGACGTGAAAATGAGAATCATTTGGATACGCTTCTGCGTAGCCTGGTACTCACTCGTCTTGTCTCCTTCCGCAGCCCGGTGATTTCGGAGACAGCACGTAAACGTTTTCGTAGCCATGTCAACGGCACCAAGATACTGCCTGCCGATTTGCGTAGCACTTGCTACAAGGCCGTGCTGCAAGATGGGGACACTGCGATCTTTGAGGAGATGCTGCAATTGTACCGTTCCACCGACCTGCACGAGGAACAGGATCGCATTTCACGCGCTCTCGGTTGCATTGGCGATGTAAACCTGCTGCGACGTGTCATCGATTTTGCTATGTCGGTAAGTGATCTGCATTTCTCTGTAATGTATATATGTACATGCGTATATATAATACCAATGCTTGCCATTCCTTGTAGGGGGAAGTGCGTGCCCAGGATTCGGTATTTGTTATTGTCGCTGTGGCCCTCAATCCCAAGGGTCGCGACTTGGCCTGGGAGTTCTTCAAGGAAAACAGCAAGCAGCTGCTGGAGCAATATCAGGTAATAAAGTAACCTCTATAGCACTGGTCATTGACTCTCTAAAACTACTTTGGTCTGCTTGTAGGGCGGATTTCTTCTAACACGTCTCATCAAATATTTGATCGAGAACTTTGCCAGCGAGGAGAAGGCACGGGAAGTGGAGGATTACTTCAGGACCAACCAGATACCTGGTTGTGAACGCACAGTCTCGCAGGCTGTAGAGACCATACGTCTGAATGCCGCATGGCTAAACCGCGATCGCGAATTGCTGACCAATTATCTGCGCGATCTTTAGGCGTGGCCGAACCGTGCGTAACGCATACCAAAGCATTTAGCAAACAACTTCAACTGCAAACCAGAACACGACCAAAGCTGTCACAACTAACTCCTTTACCATACCTTACCCCATTTTCCTAAATAGTTTAGCAATGTTAAGCAGCAACTTCAACAGAGCAACTCGACTTTCTCCTGCTCCTGCCGAGATCGATGAAAACATGTCTCTGCTGCACTTACGTCTTTTACATTCATACAAAAGTTATGTTGAGTTTATGACGATCAATAAATGCAATTCAAATTTAAAGTAAATAAATTGGTCTTGAGGAAAATATCCTAGCAGACCAACTAACTAATTCGCAAATTTTCTCGTTTTTTTTGTTTTTAATATGGGAATTTTTTAATTTTGCTTCCTCTGGAATACTTGCTTTATATAATTTGTGGTTCATCAGGGTTGTTATTGTTGTGTTCAAATTTAAGGGATTTGCGTTTAAGCTCCTGCGATTGCGACCAGAAATTGGCCAAACGTTGTTCAGCATTCGAGCAAAACTCACGGAAATCCCTCAGCATTTTCAGTTGAAACAGCTCTCCATCCGCTGAATTGTTAATGGTCAAGGCTTTCCATTTTTTGTTGGGTATCATATGGTTCCAGGACCAAAGAAAGCCCACCTTTTTGGGCACGTTCGTATTATTTGTATGTCCATAGACACAACGCGTGACATTCGCCTCCTGGCGACTCGGTGACTCCACCTGGAACTTGTTGCTGGCGCATCTGGAACAAACGTAAGAAATAATTGGTCATAATATCTATATGGAGTGTGTTATCAATACCGTATTAGAGCGAACATGTTGCCAGTGCAATGCACATACTGATATTCCTTTGGTAGCTGCAAAGTGGAAAAAGAAATGATAATTTATGATATGATATTGTATATTCAGCTACTTACGTCCTTCTTCTGGTTAAATTTCTCCTCCAAAACGCAGGGCAGAAATCCAAATCTAGCCAGTATAGCCTCCTGCAGAAAGAGCATGCGATCCGAGCGGCTGTCCTCAGGAAATTCTGCAAGATTGGAATTATTTGCTAAATATTTACCAATCAAAGAGTTGGAGCAATGCACGCGTACCATCAAAGAGACATTTGCCTTCTGGCAAAAAGTTGACGCACAAGGGAATGAAAATGGGACCACGCAATGGGTCTGATTTTTCTGTAAAAGGCTCAGCCATAGGATCAGCGGGTACAGGGACCAGTTGATAGCCACATTGAATTGCTTTGCGCATCCATCCGGCAATCTGACATTGTGAAAATAAAATAATATGATTTGATTCATGAAAATGACATATATTTGTATATGCTATACCAAATCGGAAACAATGGGTCCCGATGAGGTCACCCACTCCACAACCAGTTCAAACGCGAAACCTGGCTGCATCACAGTGTGATGCTTCACATGACCCCATTCCATTCGATCGCTCTTCTGGTTCACATCAATCTCCAAATGCGATTTACGACAAACGCGCTCTGAAAGCAAACAAATGGAATAAAATAAAAATCTGAATTGAATAGAATATTTACTCACTGCTCTTGCAATATGCCGTCCAGGATTGAGGAGCTGGTGTATCGCGCAAAAAATTGGGAACATTGGAAGGTGAAGGTTCATCGTACCACAAAAAGTTGCAGCCCTGCAGTTCAATCTCCAGCCACTCATTAACAAAGGCGCTATAGTCGTTAAGAGGCGGGGCATAATCTGACAAAACAACGCATATAATACAATAGGAGTTTCAGTTTTTCTGATGAAATCACCTTTAGCATTCTTATCCTGCTGCACCACATAGTAAAAGACAAAACCTGGCACAATGGGCTGATTCCAATCACCAGAGGCGTGGCAAATCATGCGCTCTCTGCAAAACGCATTTTGATCAAAGTGAGCAACGGTTTAAAGCTTTCCACTCACGTGCGCATGGCCTCCAGAATATCTAAAGGATGTCGACCATTTGTTATACGCGCCCTTAGCCACATCAGCGCATCGTATGAAATGAAAGTGCAGGAGGGCAACGATTGGGTTTGGGTAAAGAAGCCAACGCCATTTACCGGATGCTTCATGGCCTCGAACATCTCCGCCAGCGTAGCATTCGGGCTAAACTTTATATCCACTGGAAAACTGACATACAAAGTAGTTAGTGTCACAATATTATCTCTTTCCAATAGACTGCTTACCCATCATCCTGATCGTCACGTGGCCCAGTTCCATTTGAAGCTGCAGCGGCTGCATCTGTCCCGGGAAGATTGCGGGAAATCCGACCCGGTTCCACTTTAGGGCGCACATTGATGCTACGAAGGAAGATTTAGAATCGGTAAAACTGCCAAATCGACTTTTGTCGTGGATTGGTTGTGGAAGGATATACAGCGATTTTGCGTGTGTGTGAATGTGAATGTGCGAATCACAACTGCATTCAATGGATTTTTCCCCATTAAAGGGTGTGGTGAATTCGTGAATGGGCGTGTGTTAGTGCGTGTATCGCAACGTCAAATGTTCACGATTGAGCAGTACTAAGCTCTTTTCCTCACTCTCTGCTCTCACGCTTTCACTTAACATTCACCACACCGCTTCTGGGTCTCTTGAATTAAAATAAATGATGCATGTGTATGTTTCCGTTTCTCTCTATTCCACTCGTAGCAAATCAAAATAGTGTGGGAAATTTAGTATTGTATATTGGGAACAGGATGTCATTGGGTAAGGCTATCACGATATTGGCACAAACCTTTGCAGTGGTGAATTTAATAGATTATGATTCTTTTCTGTGATTCTAGGTGTGGGTGTATCATGCTGCTGAAAGCCAAATACCAAATTAAATAGTAATAAGAAAAATAAAACAAATAAGGTATTAAACTAAGTAATAAGTATAGATATAAAATATTCTACAAGCTAAGTGCATAACAACATAGAATAACTACAAAAGTCAATCACCAAATTGTTTATAGGCAGGGGAGGCAAATGACAATGGGACAACGGTGCAACAGGGCAATTACAATTAAGCTTGGTTCCGCAAGCGCAGTACTACATATGTATACAGATGCAAATCAAAGTGTAAGTGTAAAAGTATGTGCGTGTGTGTATGTGAATGTGTTTAATTTTTTTTGGATACGATATAAAAACCTGGGTCTCTTCTCTGGCAAACGATTGCTGCCGACGCGCTCACGAAACGGCGAGTTCGTGAGCCCCTGCGACGACGAGAGTGTTGTAGTTGCGCAGGATACACAGACAGAGAGGTTGGCATTGAAGGGGCGGGGCACAGGCGAGACGGAAGACAAGTTAAAGAAAATTAGAAATATGATATGGGCATCGTTTTCAAGAAAAACGATGAAAATCAAAGCGTACGCAAATTAAAAGAACAAACAGAATGTGCGCAGCGCGAAAAAAGAAAACAAATCACAATTAAATATATATGCATGTATGTACAATATTCAGTTAGATTGGTAAAGTGGATAGATAACCTGGTTGAGAGGCCTGGAAATAATGCTCGTACTGTGTCGCCGCTTAGTAAAGCTGTTGGTCGTGGGGCTATCCTGCAATTGGACATTGGTTAAGCGATAAGCACTACATTTACAGTTACATTCGCAATTAACATAAACGAAAGTAAGTGGGAAAACACAGCACGTATAACACACTGACGCTGTTACAGCTGCAACGGGTTGGAACTGGAACTAGAAATCGATAAACGATCGATAACTATAGCCGCCAAATGTAAATCAATAACAAACTAGATCAATTGCAGATTAAATAGATAATATCGTAGCCAGCTTACGCGCGCTTTGCGACAGATTTGTCGTCTTAACTTGCTGACATTCTCGATAAGTCGTACAAAGTCCTCGATTTGGTCACGGGTATTGTCCACAACAGCATCCGTAAAGATGTCGCAACGCTGGCTGCCGCAGTTGACGATCTTATTGACCACGGTGTCCTTTGGCAGCAGATACATGCGAAACCGCCAGTATTTGAGACTCTGCAAAAGCAAGGAAAGGAAATAAATGATGGCTAATTCTCAGCATGCTCACCTCCATTAGTGGATAATCAACATCGCCACGCGTACATATGTATAAATCCATGTGATTCCAGCTAAAGTTCTCCAGTTTCTCAGTCGTAAAATTAACGCCAGAGATTTCATAGGTCTCATGCTGTGGTGCATGGAATCGATAGCGATAATCGACATTAATTGGCGGATATGGATGCCTATTGAGAGGAAAAATTAAAAATTGAAAATATACAAACTATTGCAAATCACACCTGGGTTTATAGCCAGTCACTGTAATAACTGAACCACTCAGCGAGATCTTGTGAAATATGCGTCCTATGGATAATAGGTATTCCTTGTTCGGTTCGCAGGGCGGCTTCACGGGTAACACTGCCGATGTGCCCAGATTATTAGCTAAGGGGGCACAGCTCCCATTCGTCGAGCAGCAGCTGTTGGAGCTGGGCTGTTTTTCCTCGACGACAATCAGCTGAAAGCCCTGGGCCAAACGTTGTGAAACAATCTCCTTACACACCTCCTCCGTGGACAAAGGTTTGCGATAGACTGCACGACTCTTGGCATAATCCAGATTCACATCATCCGGCAGCAAGGTATAATCCGAAATGACATAGTCATTGTGCAACGACCGCTTATCGGGAAAGTAATCCGTGGTTATGGGAAGACAGGCGGGTATGGATAGAGATTTCCAGTCGACCCCTGAAAGCGGCAAAAGTGATCAAAAAAGCAATACAAGCCAAAACCAAGCAGAAAACGCCGCAGCGTGCAGTTGAGCAAATGTGTTCAAGGTACGTAAATAGAAAAAGCCAACGCCGATACGAGATACAATATATAAATAGATAATTATAAGTTTCACAATTTTCAAATCGCGTAAGCTCTATATATTTAAATGACCAGTTGCTCCAAGTATACGAAAATTAAAACCAGCTTCAGATGTTTTTTAAGATTAATTTCGAGTTTTTAGGATTTTTGGTCAACAATAATAAAAAGGCGGGTGAGTGCGTGCGTGCAATGATCAGTGGGCGTGGCTGAAAAGCATGCATTCACTACAAATAATAAAAAGAAAGAAAGAGAAGCTTGTGCAGCTCATGCCACATGCGTCAGGCTGAAATATAGTATTCCAGTGAAGTATTGTAGTCCAGCACCTTGTTCAAATTGTGTGAATAGATGTGCATAGGATGGTTGGGTGGTAGGCAAAATGTCGGTAATATAGGGTGTTTACTAAAGACACGCTACAGCTTAACTAACTACGGTTACGGTGAATTGCGGTTACCAAATTTTCTAATTTGCGCTTGAACTACACACATACCTGTACAGGCGAAAGTCTTTAAATGTTCACGGTTCTAGCTACATTAGATATAAGATGTTCCAATTAACGTATATTATGCCTAAAAGTTGTATGAATTTATTTTACGATCGAGTTCTTAGTAAATAATGTGTTAATGAGACAAACACTAATGTGTTAGCTGTGCATAACGTAAAAAACTTTTATGATATTAATTATAGTTTAAAATAAAATTCTATATATTTATATAATGACTGACTATTCTTACGAGTTAACAACTAAATTGATCGATCATTTTCATTTTATGTTAATATATAAGAAATCATTTTACTATACAAAATATATATTTTTACATTTATTGGTATTTGGAATACTCAAATATCGACTTCGATATGTTTCGTTATATCTAGTTTTTGTTTCTCAAATAATTTTCTCTATGACTACGAACGAACACATAAATGCTACATACATACATAAATATATAATGTGTAACTACGTAGCGCTACAGTCACGATTATATGCAAACTCTACACAATTATACAAAGTTAAATACAATTCTGCATGTGTAGGGGAAACTACTGTGTACAAGGTATGTGTGTATGTATATATGTGTGTGTGTGGGTGTATATGTTTGTGGATGCATTGCTTTGTACAAAATTGTGATTATTTTTTATATTGCCAAACCTATGATGATTTTTCCTTTTCCGACAGTCTCGCTCGTAGCCTCAAGCCGTGATGTTCCATAATTTTTATGTTCGCTTTCGACAATTGCTTTCATGTGTTTGCCCGTTGCATTCCCAAAATGTAGAGCAATGCCATTTTCTACAGAACCGTTAAGATTGGTCCATGATTTGTCGATGTCGATAGGTTCGGTGTTATGGTGAATGTCGATAATTAAGATTATGTTTAATTTTTTCCAATTGGGTTTGGTTTATTTATTTGAATATTCGTCGTTTGCCGTTGAGTATATTATTTTGTATATGTTGGTGGATTAGCAGGATTTGTGAATAGGCCATCAAATACATATACAAATATACATATATATATATATATATGTATATGGATAAGTGTAATCAAATTGGTTGAATTTTCGTCGGTATCAAATGTGTTAAGAAATGAAAGATATATCCAAAATACATAAGTTAATTAGTTGAGAATTACACTAAATGCCTTAAATCGAAATAAAAATGCAGTTAGTAGTAGTTTTTCTACATTTACATAAAAAATTCGAAGACAAAGGCGACTATACTAGCGAATATCCCAAATAGATATAGATAAAAGATCGACGAAATCATAATGAGTGACAATGGACGAACATTCTGAAAACGCTCATAATGCTCAATGCTGGCAAAGTCGCGCACATAACCCAACTGCTTGGCACGGGTATAGTAGAGGGTGCGCCATTTGTCTTGCAAGCCAGCCTCCTGAACGTGGAGCTCGAAGTGATGCAGTGGCTCCATGAAATGAGATCCGATTCGAAGCTGAAACTGACTAGGGAAGGTGCCATAGCAGAACTGGGAGAGCCAGAACCGCTTTTGCTTTAAGTATCTTTGCTGCAGGCTCAAGAATTTCCAGCGAAGCGTACTAATAGGATAAATAAAGCCATCGCTCATCTCCACGCGTGTGTTATAAAAATCAATTTCATTCATATAATAAAAATTGTGCCACAGCTTCGAATTATTGCCAAAAGATGCGATAATTGAGTCCACATCACTGGGCAGCACCACAATGGGATAGGGCAGCTGCAAGAATTCCGAGAACGTAATCCGTGGATGCGCAGTAAGTAAGACAGTCAAGATTGACGTCAACTTGGTCACATAAAGCTGCACAATGATGAAGGCACTGAAGACCAAGGTGACGCAGATGAGCAGCCGGAATGGCCAGTAAATGGACGCATTGCTACCCTTTAGGCAGCCAGGCACACCAAGCAGCGACCACAAATTCAAGTTGGAATACCAAGCACAACGTCGTACCAAATATCCCAGCAGAACCTTCAAGGGCACCAACAGAAGAAGACTCAGCCATACAATCGGCTGAAAGGGCTTTATCACGTAGAGGCTGCGTGGAAAGGGTGCATTGAGTGGCAGCATGAAGCAGCGTGGTACCACGGAATACGGATAAGAGTAGTCCACCTTCATGGATCGATGCAGTGTCGTAAACTGATGCGGACTGAGTTCGATGTGATGCTCTGCCACGAGGTAAACAAGAGTGGACATGTTTATATTATTAGAACCGTTGATGATCAGAGGATAGATCTCCAGGCACACGTTCAGATGTTGCATCAATTCACGTATCAAGGTACCACCAGCGCCATCTAACTGTAGCTCACGTGATGCAGTATCATTGCGTGCATACCAAAAGGTCGCTGGAACATCTACCTGAACAGGTACGCGCAGTACGTATCCCATAAAATCGGAACGTTCAGCTGATGGAAAGATTGTGCGCTCGTCCTCTGTCAAGCTCACTTGTAGCACACGTAGAGTGGGGTAGGGATCCATGTAGTAGAGACGTTGCCTGCCCACCATAACCAACGCAGAGCGAAAGCCTTTAAGCCATAGGTATTCAAACAACGTTCTTAAAGCTCTTGCTCCCTCATCCTTGCGCAGCAGAAATAAAGTCTTGCAAAAACGACGATCACGCGCACGCTCCGCATGCATATCAATAATCGGATCTGTTGTATTTGCGGCAAGGATCACAAACACCGTTTGATGATCTATCAGACTGTTGAATTTCCAGTTCGAAAGCTCCGTTGAGATGATTTGGGGCAGCGCATTAAAATAGTTATTTTCCAAGTGCAGATCAAGTTGCAGTGTATTCAAAAATTCTGGCTGTGTTCCATACGAGCTATGCACGAGGCAGAGGCATTGCAGCTGATTGGCGCGCCCAACGCGATCCAAGAACAGACCCAGTTGAGTGCCATTAGTAGTCAGCTGCACCAGCAGCAACATTATCAACATGTTGCACAAATCGAACTGCAAGTGAATGCAGTAGGACATGCTTACCCACCCGCGCGATAAAATCTTTCAGTAAATCCCACATGACAGTTGAATTAGAAGCCAAAATAAATAAGTTAAACAAACATACCTGTTGTAATTGCTGGCGTCCATTCCTGCTCCCCTGTGGCGCCCCATAAAAATGATTTGGCCTGGGTGGCCGTCAGGTTGGGCACATTGGCAGCGTGTGCGGCATTCAACAGCGAAGTATTGCGACGCTTGAAAACTGCACAGAACAATGAACATGACTAATATGTATATGTATCCTAAAGTCTACTTACAGTCAGATTTCTCCTCACTCTGCGAGCTAAATGACTTGGTCTGGCTCAACAGTGAGTGACTGGACAGCTCATCAAAATGCTCTGTTGCAGCTGAGCTAAACTCCTGCTCGTTATTATTATTATTATTATGGCTATTATTACTGTTGCTATTGCAGTGCTGCAGCTGACGATTGCAGTTGACAGCAGGCAAGGCTTTGGCAGGCACCGCTTGATAATGATGCTGCTGTATAAGCACGCCCGTCGGTCCCTTGGGAAATATATGCGTCCAGCGCCGTCTATTAGAAGTTAACTTTATGGTCACATGGGACGGATCGAAGGGATTAATTAATGCACGACCAGGGCGTACAATTGGAGCAATGCTCACAATCGCCCGCCTTGAATTCTTTTCTGAGGCCAAAGATTCGGACAAATTGTTAGCGGTATCTGTCAACGTGGCCAGCATGCCTGAAGTGCCATGATGTATATCCGGGTCGGACATTTTCCGCCGTAAGCTGGGTATCTTAGTGGGCGTTAAATTCTCCCAGTCATTGTTGCGATACGCGTATGTCTCAAAGCTGGGCACCGATGTCTTCTTGGCACGCACAACTCGCTGCAGTGAGCTGCAAAGAAACAAGGAGTTATGTGTCAAGAAACTACATAAATTACTGTAAATCTGACCATGTGCTCTGCGCTGGCAGCGGCTGAAAAATTTGCTCATCGTATGCATCATAATCAAAAAGCGAGTTGTAAATGTACTCCGACTGATTGCAGCTAAGAAAATTGCGCTCATTTTCCTCCACATCGCCTTCATCAACAGCCGATAAAATGGGCAGCTTGATGCGTGGTATAAAACTTGAATATGCTATCTTTTTGTTAGTCGAGTAGAAGCTTAAGTTAATCCAATGGGGCAGTGAGTAGTCATCAGCCGATGTTATGGATGTATCCTTGTTATGGAACTTGAGCAACGGCACAGCGTGCAGCGGCTGCTCGCCGACACAAACGAGATCGCTGCCAACGCCATTATCAATGATGCGCTGCTTGGTAATGTTAGTAAGTTCTCGGTCCACGGAGAAGACGCCAACACCGGGTGTTATCACAACAGACAGTTGACCCGTTCGATCAAAAGTGCGATCCAGATAATGCTTCTCAAAAGTATTAAGTGAAATATTAAGCACTTCTAGGAAATTGCCCTGTGTGGCGGTTGAGTTGGTCGCTTGTGGTATAACCATATTCTGACGCTCATGATAGCGCAGCACAGTCTCTTGGTAGGAGGTGAAAAGCTTGCGCAACTGCGCCAGCACCGTGCACCAATCATCATTTCGCTCGTTTTGTATGGCCACCCGATAGAAATCTTCATAGTAACGTCCTTTATAGTCTTGTTGCAAGCAATCACGCATGTGCGCAGGAAACTCATCTAAGGATTTGGCCGCGTAGAAAGTGCGAGAGAAAAGCACAATGGTGACCTCATGGTTGCAGCTCAGTTTCTTCCACTTCTGAAAGAGCTCGGTGAGGAAGCCATTAACAGCTTTTTCAAAGTACAAATCTCCATGTATATCAAAGTCCCACATTTCCGATGACATTTGCAGAAATAGGTAAACCATCGAGGTGCTGCTGCGAAAAACAATCTTGGTGTCTTCTGTAATAACGCCACTGGCCACTCGCTCGCCCTGCGACCACATCTCATAAACTTGGCAGCGTATCTGCATATCATTGTAGTCAATCTTTTTATTCGCATACACACAGGTATTTGTCTGCAATCAAGAGATAAATGATTGTATTCATTTAGGATTTCTATTTAGTGACAGACGGTACTCACCAGATAGGTTTTTAGTCGCCACATTTCCGAGCGGCCCATATACTGTTCCTTAAATGTAATTTCAATTGAGTCGAGGGCAACGTCCGCGGGATTCACAATACGCATTACGACATTGGAATAGGAACGCATTTTAAATGCTGTCGCTATGCCTGATTCTATGCTTATCACATTGCGACCCGTTTTGCTCTGTTCATTCAGCTCAGTTATCTGCAGCAGCAAGTGCGTGCCGTTTTCATCGTCGGGTGCATATATTTCCACAACATCCCCAACTTTAGCTGTTGGATGATCCTGTGGATTCAACACCAGGTCCGATTCTGCACAAATGTACATTGAATGCTTTTATTGCCATTTTTTATCCCGCCCCACTTACCGTACGACTTATTGCACCCCCTTGTGTGAGTGTTCAACTTGTAAAGTTTCATTTTTATGTTAATTTTATATTTTACGGCTCCATTTGCACTGAAATAGACTGTTCGTAATGCTTCTTCATTGCTTTTTGGCTTTTGTTGTGATGCTATTCGTTGTTTAGTGTTGGCTAACGTTGCATTGGGCGCAACAGCTGTCGCAAAAAGTTAGGGATGTGCGTATCAGTCATGTTATCGGCGCTGTACGGGACTGCGCAGTATAATCAACCGACTCGTCTAGCGATTGTAGTGGGGTGCGTCTGCTCACACTAGCTCCAAATATATGCATACAAGCTAAAATGGCAGATGCAAAGCATATCCAAATGGGCTTTTACAAATATTAAACGACCTTTTCACCGCTTGCGAAAGTAGCGCAATTATTTATAGATAATAAAAGACTATTTATTTTTATTTCAATGAATATGTTTTATTAAATCGCAATATCAGTGAGTACATTTGACTAACAGTTCGTCCGTAAGACAGTTTGCCTGGATAAATCCTCAGTTCAAATATTTGCATAGCATCCCACAACTTTTGATTGATTGGGGGTGTGGGGGTATATATGTATGAATGCACGTACGTAATTAATTTTGTTTCTTAGTATGCATGTAATGTATGTCGCATTTTATTATTGATTAGAACTCTCTCGTAACTCGCTGCCATTGACGACAACGATCATTTCGGCTGATAATCTTTTTCTTTTTCGTTTTAAAAGCGTTTCTACTTATACATAATGTATATATATTTAATAATATATATAGTTCAAGGCATTTCTTACGCGCTTTGGACTTCGTATTATTTGTTTTTGTTTTGGGGTCGCTTCACCAGGATGCGTCGATTACTCAGTATGTGTGTATATGTGAGTCTGTATGGGCTGGGTAACTAACATTTGAGTGTCTGGCCTCACAATCTCAACATGCAGCTTAAACATATATCTGGATATAACTACCGGAACAAACTGACTCCTAAAAACTAAACGAGTACACGCTACAATTAATTACACATTTAAGAACTAGGGATTAGGACAACAATGACAATGAGTTGCTTCACATTGCCACTGTGGCGAGCACCACGGTTATATCGTCTGGCTTCCCGCCGCGCGCTTGAATATTGTTGCGACGAGCGCTGATGGCGAAGGGCGAAAGGAAATCGCTATTTTGGGAGAGCGTGCGAGCCATCAGTGCCAAGGTATTCGCCGTCATTTGCAGCTTGACCGGGTCGCGTTCACCCTCAACGTCGCGCAGTACTTGAAGCATCAGTTCCTCGGGTACATTGTCAAAGACACCGTCAGTGGCAATCAATATGACATCACCTTCTTGCACGGGAAAGCTCATTGTGTCCGCTGATTCGGGGCTGTCGCTGAGAACATTGGGCCCATGACCAGGAGGGGGCAGGGATAGCTGGAAGGGCGTATTAAAGTAGTGCTGCTGCTCCTCTGACTTATGCACAATCTCGCCTTCTCGCACCACCATAAAACCACTGTCTCCGATATTCGCTGTATGCACCGTGCTCGTCTCTCGATTTAGGATTAGCACACATGCTGTACTGCTGCCCAATATCGGTTTCTTTTGCTCCATTAACTCGCAGTAGCTGTAGGCAAGTAGGTTGACAGGACGCTGCGGATTAAAGTGGGTGCAGCGCACCAGCCGTTCACATGTACGCATGAGAAATGAGGAGAACTCCCCCGGATCAATACCATAGCTTCGCCAACCGCCAACACCATCGGCCACGCCCATGACATCGGCCGACTCTGTGGATGCCTTAAACCAGGAGTCCTCGCCATATTTGCCAGGCTTATATTTGTGTCGCAGATTGTCCTTGGCGAAGCCACAAACCACTGAAACGAATCGAGGCCGAGATCGATTTGGCGTTGTCTTTGCAGCACCTTTGGTTGTGGCACCCGACGCGGAATCAAGTAGCGTTGAGAAGCTGCTACGTAACGCTCGAGATATTAGACGCGATGTCCAATTAAGCGAATGCATCTTTGCAACGCAAAATACTCTACAAAACGCGTGCTCACAATTATTGTATACTCGTTACGCACACATATGTACACATATATATATATATCGATTTAACACAATGTGTGTTGATTAATTCGTTAATTCCCACGTATCTGCTGGCATCCACAACTGTTTTTAGCCAGTTGTACGAAACTAATTTAGAAAAATTTTCGTTTCAATTAATTAAAATATACAACTACGACAGAGTTATGTGATACACTTTTTCCATACGTCTAAGTCACATACGTCGTGACACACAGGAATGTTAATTTACAGATTAGCGACTTTAACATTAACATTACAATGTTATTAACATTGCGCACGCAGCAACATTAAAATTTTAACGGTGTAGACATTTTAAAATATAATTTTGATGTAAATTGACTCGACATTGTATTCACTGTTACCTAAAAACCAGAAATGGTTCTAAAAATCGAATTATTAGGAGAATAAGATTTGAGCGGGACATAATATAAGTGCCGAAAAGTATGCTGTACGCTTTCTACTGTTATTATTTATGCTGTGTACAGAAAAACGTAAACGTTGCTTTTTCCATACGTCAAAGTCACATGGGCTAGAGGTGCTAGTTTTCTCACATCATCATTCGATATATATAGATATACATATATATATCGATACACTGGATTTTTATTTTATATGCAAATTTTATATCAAAATGCGCCAATTGTGAGAATGCGCATAAAAAGATGTAAAGTTTATCTCTTTTATTGCTATACAAAACTTCTAAAATTATTTTTTTATAGTGACAAATTAAAAAATTAAGATCAAATTCGCTATCAATCAACATTTAGTTTTCTAAATGAGCCTTCCGTACCGTACAAGGTATCAAAATCAATTGGATTGCCAGGACGCAGTTTTTCATCGGTGCCAAATTTAGTATTTTCCTTAAAGTAATCTCTGTATTGATCAAATTTCTTCTGCCATTCTACTATGCTCTCTTGTATGGAACCATTTTCGCCACCATATTCCTTGGGTAGATATTTTAGAGGCACATGCTCCAATAATGAATCTATCTTGCTATGTATGAAGAGTCGTTCCTGTTGTTTTTTGGACATCATGGGCTTAACCATGTTGAAGATGGTTTCAAAACCAGCAATCGTATTCACAAAATGCTGAGCTTTGGGTCGCATGGGTAAAGCCTCCTCATTAAACACAGTCATCTTCTTTGCAAGACCAGGAGTCATTTGGAATAGGTGCGATGCAGTTGCTCCATTCATGTCCATGATAAATACTATTCCATTAATTATTGCTTCGTCATCTTCCATAAGTGCTATTTCTTGCATTACTTGTCCGACATGCATTACGTCTGTTATCTTATATTTTTCAGCTGGTGCAACGCCTAGTCTAAATATACCTACCCGTGCTCCGTTGAATGTATTGGGTAGGTAGACTATGGGTCTATAAACAATAGATTATAGTATATCAAATGACCTTCGTGAAAAATTTCAGACGGCTCACCCCAATTGCTGAATTTCTCGTAAAATCGGATCGTCGACATCGGTTACACAAAATAATTCAGGATATTTAGTTCGCAACGTGTAGTACTTATCCAATTTAGATTTAGTCTTCTCTAAGCTGTACTTGCAGCCCCTTAGAAAAGCGACTAGGAACTGATCGTCTGTACGTGGATTCAAATGTGGCTGCTGCTCTATCCAAGTCTTCAGTGCCTCCAGATCTGCTTCAATGCGATCAGGATCCTCGTTGAGGCGCTCCTTAGCCACTGCTTGTAGCTCGGCAGAAATGGGGCGAATTTGAGGTGCCATGTTAATTGTTGGAAAACGTCCGTGTCTGCCTCAACGATCAAATATTGAACTGTGACTATTCATAAATTCGTGGAGTCTACAAGTTATAGCTGATTTGATTATGCCTGTTTATCAATTTCAGATAACGATAATTGTGTACCATAAAACCAATAAAAACGGACACTGTGAACTTAGTTGATAAACTAAATATTTCATCATGTCCCTAATGTATAGAATTGTAAACATCGAAAGGTACATAAAGGTTTATACCGATTCATCATGTATACACGGCTTTTATTTGAAGATTTTAGATTCTACTTTTGGAAGGGATAATAATCTAATCCTGAGTTATAGTTGTATTTGGGTTTCTGTTTTCTTTTTGCTATGTCAATTATCTCCTGAACATCCTTGCGATAAGAGGGTGGCAGCATTTCTTCATGCAATGTGCACTTGTGTTCCTCGGGCTCCTCCACCTTGAAGATGTTTCTGCGTATGATATCAATATCTCTTCCAAATTCTTCTTTTAAGTCTGACAACTTTGTGGGCGCCGAATCGAACGTAATCGTAAAGTGGGTTGCTTCTCGGTGCACAACGCCATGCTCGCTCACTTTGTGGGGTAGTGGACGTGTGCCAAGATTTTCGAATTTTCGAATAATACCGCCCTTATCGAAGATTGCTTCAGCTGTTCGCTTGATGACTGAGATCAACTCCGGCTAAAAGAAAACGCACATTATTTACTTTACATAACCGGTGCACCTATTTATTTGCATACAGACCCGTGGAAGTTGCCGCAGAACCAACGCCAATTCATAGGAAGGCATGTCAGCTTATGGCAATAAGTAATATGAATAGTATTAGAAACCTAAATTAAATATTGTTTTTATTATATTTAAAACTGAATCACTCCAACTAAATAGGCTTTTGTTAATGAGATTAGTGTAACCAGCTTAAAATATGACAAACATACCAAATATATCGAAATAGCATCAGCTGTTTTGCTTCTCTTATTAAAACTTGAACGCGATAATAAATAATAAATAATGAATGACAAACATATTTAAACAATATAATGTATTTATACACAAATGCATCAAATATAAATA